TAAATTAGGCACTCAAAAGGTGCACATGTGGCTTGATGTACCATCGTTGTAATTGTGTATAAAACACCGTTTCAAATTCTAATAAAAGCTTTCAGGCCAAAGAGATCTTCTTAATGTTAAAAAAAAAAAAAAAAGTATAATATTTAATTAATTGTATGTAAAATAAAAAAATTACAAAAATTAGAATCTCATATTTAAAATAATACTTAAATCTAAAAACTAATACTAAAAATAGAAAAATTAAACTCTTATATTTAAGGCAATACTTAAACCTAAGAGCTAATATAATTTAGGTCTAAGAATTAGAAAAAAATTAGAACCTTATATTTAAGGCAATGCTCAGATCTAAGAGCTAATATAATTTAGACCTAAGAATTAAAAAAAATTAGAACCTCACACCTGGGGCAACACCAGGGCTTAAGAGCTAGTATATATATATTATGCATTTATACTGTATAGCACTGAGATAAATAGCTTATCTAATTTGGCTAAATAGACTTCAGCAAATTTTTTTAGAGTGTCTCAGAATTTATGAAAATAGCTATAAATATTTTCAGCATAGCCGAAACTAATTTCTATGGCATGTATAGACAGCAGTTATTTTAAGTTTTAGCAATCAATCATCTATGTAGTATAAAACAATTAATGCAGTAAATAAATCAACATAATCATTCTAATAGTTTTTTATGATTAATGTTAGAATGAGAATGTTTGGTATTCTAAAATTATTTTAACATTTCTTTATTCCTATCTGAATTATCTGGATAATTCAGATCACTTAGATATTTGGATAATCATTAGTGTTAAGATAAGAAAGTTCATATTATTTTTTTTTATAATTCGGCAGTCATGCCTTAACTTTATTAGGCTTTGTACAACTTATCTAGAATATGTAAAATTTTACAACTGAGCATTTCAGAAGGTAAGTGATAAACTCTTAACTTGTCAGCAAATAGCATATGAGAACTATCTCTAAATAACAAGCGCCATAGCCCAAGTTGTTACCTGGTTACCAACTTGGTACCTATGTTCGACCTGCTATAGCAAGATTTCCTTCTTTCAGACCCCTCCTGCACTTGGATATGACCCAGCTCTCAACAGTGGACCTTGCTGCCCGTCATAATCACCTCTCCCTTCTTTTAGACTTCCTCCACCTAAGCCTGACAACAACAATTAAAACCTTTATTCATACATAAAAGTGAAAAAAATGAAGCCATGTTTATGAAAGACAAACATTTTAGAAAAAAAAACCCCTCACAGTGGGAAAAAAAAACTTTTCAACAAATTTTAAAATAGTCTAACATAAATAAACAAAGATGAAAAAAGTGAAAAAAAAGAAATGTAGCCATGATACACTATTATAGCCCATGCCAGACATAAGGATAAAAATTATATAATAATAACTATATCTCGATTGTAAACCAACAGTTTAGCTTTGGGACTCGTTCCGGGCACCGACTCGACTCAGGTATCTCCTAAACAGAAGTGATGATCTCTTCCCTATACCGTAGCACTGTGTTCGCAAAACAACAAAACACATGATTGCCTTCTACTGAGTTTATCCTGATTTGGTAGGTGTAAACAAGCCGATTTTTTGGAGGTAGTAAGCCAAAATGCCCACTTTTTATCAAAAAATTTTGGTAGGACCAGCACAAAACGACAAAGAGAGAAAGACCTCTTGATACTACTTAAAGGAAAGTAAGTTACTAGAAACAACAGAAATAGTCCTCCTTCTAGACAAAACTGTGATTGTCAGTGAGTGATAAACTCTGAACTTGTTGGCAGATAGCATATGAGAACTATCTCTAAATGACAAGCACCGGGTTTGCAATGAGTAATAAACTCTAAACCTGTCAGCAGGTAGCATATGAGAACTACCTCTAAATGACAGGTGCTAACTTATAGTCCCTCTTTTCAAGTCTTATGTAGTTTGGCTAGTTAGTTTCTACTGTTTTTGTTGAAAAGTTTTTTTGGCAAAATTTGGTTCAAGTGATCATCAAAAAGAGTTGTGTTAGTATTTTTGAGAAAGTTCATATTATAAAATCATTTTAACAACTCTTTAAAGTTAGAATTTAGGAGTGAAATAGTGGTAGTGCAAAAATTTGGCAGTCCTGTAACTAATTCAATATATGACTTATTTCTCTATGGGTGGTATCATCACTGACCTTTTATACGCCTTGGAGGATAATCAGATTTACTCTCATAGTTATGAAACTCATAGTTTTAATGTTAAAATAAATTGGTAATTTGAAATAAATTATGAATGTAAGTTGCACTTCATTTTTACATGAAAAATGATTAAAAAATTAATGTTTGCATTAATTCAAAGTAGAAAGAATATTTCTAAACTTTTGTACTGAAAACTTTTACATAATAACAAAGACCGCGGATTTATGAGTTTTTTCACCTTTATTTTTTTACTTTGCATTTGTTTGTTACCCATTGATCTTACAATCGGATTAAATAAAATTCACGAGACCACCAAATTTTTGCACCATCACTATTTCACTCGAATTTGGTATTTTGATTATGGATGTTTGTACTTCCTATCTGAATTATCTGGATAATTCAGATCACTAAAATATCAGGATAATCGTTAGTATTAGGATGAGAAAGTTCATCATTCTAACAGCTCTTTAAAGTTAGAATTTAGTAGTTTGATTATGGATGTTTGTACTATATATTAAGAATTTTTTTTTTTTTTGCCGATATGCCTATTACTAATACGTATATTAGTCTTTTCAATAATATATCCAATTCACATAATTAACATGTTAATATTAATTATTCAATATGATACTTAAAATAATCTTTATATTAATCTTTAAATCAACAATGAAAAAAGAAACATGCTTTGATACAGTATAGTACGATATTTATTAATTAAAAAAGTTTTGCTGTTTTATTGATTTTGCTTTTGGTGATAAACTTTAGATGCGAGAATTAAGCGAATCTTAAATTGAAAAGAATACAAACAATATGATGTTTTACTGTTTTATCTGTTTTGTTTTCGCTATTATATTCATGGTATGCATTTCAATCTGATGCATAAATTAGAACATGATACAGAACAAATACTGTATAAAAGAACTGTGCCATAGGCAAATGCATTGAAGATTAAAATTTTTTAATATATATATATATTTTTTTATCTTCAATCTGAATTAGTCGGATTTTTGTTTTTTTACATTTATTTATTTTTTTTATGGGTTATTTTATTTTATTTTGTTTACGTTTTAATTTATATTTTTTGTTTACTGTTTATTACTGTTTATTTTTTTTTTACCTTTATTTTACAGCTTTATTAATTCGTCCTAGCCTTTGGTATCGCCCATTGGATTCGTCGCTTTGGAGTCGCCTGTTGAATCATTGTAGTTGCTTTTGGAGTCGCAGTGGCTTTCAATATACGTAAATCAAAACCTATGCTTCTCTATATCCAGTGATGCGTATTGGACAAAATTGGGTGATTTTTGGACTTTGGATGTCCAATGTCCAATGGTTCAATGATTTTGATTCGAATTTGGACGTCCAAGATCCAATGATTTGGATTGGACATGACAACACTGTCTATATCGACATAGAGATACGTAATGCATAAACTGGTAGTACTGTATACAATATTTAAGGAAATTTCTTAAATTATCAATGTCAATAAAGTGAAGGATCCAGAATTCTCAATCTCTTTTTATAGAAATATGTAATACATAGTACCGTACGTACGTACTACTATTATATCGAATATGCATGCTACTGAAACTTAAAATAGGCCTCCACTGGATTTTCTGCGCCGTTATATCAAATCAAAAATGGATTTACAATTTTTTGAACAACTTTATCAAGACTTTACACAACTTTTAGAAAGTGGATACGATTATAATGTAATAATCGAAGTTGGAGAACAACCAAATATTAAAAATTTTAAAGGACATTCAGCAATTTTATACCAACGTTCATTATACTTTCGTCAAAAATTTTTAAATGCGAATAAGAAAAACAATATTATTGAAGTTAAATTACCTCATATTTCTGCCAAATTATTTAATATTATTATTAAGTAGGTATAGAATAATATAAAGTTTCGTATTATGAAAACCATGAAATTAAATTTGTTCGGCCTAATATTATAATCATTAAATTTTTATTAATACTTATGACAATAGATATATTTATGGTGGTTTAATTTCCTTGGAAAATTTCGAAGTTTCAGCTATATTTGATTTATTAGTCGTCGCCAATGAACTTAAACTTACAGAATTAACCAAACGTCTTCAATCTCTCCTTATCGATAATAATGCATCTTGGCTTCGCTTAAATTAGCTTTCTTGTCGAAAGCTTTGGACCTTTACAACAATTTTGCAATAATATTGTTGCCAAACATCCAAGCACGATTTTTAATTCTGATGGTTTTACCACACTCCACGAGAATGCATTAATTTCTCTTTTAAAGAATGATGATTTACAATTGAAAGAATCAGAATTTTGGGATAAAGTTATTTTATGGGGAAAAGTGAAAACATCAAATTTACCACCTAATCTCGAATAATGGACTGATGAAGATTTTAAGCCTTTGAGAGCTACCGTTCAACATTGCCTTCCTCATATTAGATACTTTCAAATTCTTGGCATAGATGTATTGGAGAGAATTAAACCCTATTAAGGATAACTTGTGGGATGACATTATGTCAAAATTTGCAGATCCAGATGCACATATTACTTCTACAATTTTGCCTCCTCGAAAAGGACCTATTATTACACCATCTTCTTCGATAATCACACTACAGCATGCAGCAGAGATTTCATCGTGGATTGATGTTCGACAGTTTATGATATTTCAAAAACTCCATATAAATTTAAACTTTACTTAGAAGTAGTAGGGATGGATTTACAGGTGAAGTATTTCATAGGCTGTGTGATAACATACCTAAAACTTTAGTTGTTGTAAAGATTAATAGTACAAATAAATACTGGTGGTTATAATCCTCTTATTTGGAAAGTTGATAACAGTAGTCCCAAAGGTAAATTTGAACTAACAAACGATAGCTTCGTTTTCTCTTTAAAAGATGAACAATCAATTCTTAGTCGTGTAAGTCATACACCAAGGGCAATCTGGTATGATAGTATATTACGTGGTCCATGGTTAGTGGTTCTGACCTTGGAATGGGAGATTGTAATGATCCTAAAAAATGGCATTGTGGTAAAGATTCATATGATATACCAATAGCAAAAAATAATGGGTGGCGTATTATAGATGAATATGAAGTATTTCAAATTTGTAAAAGTATTCTGTTGATAAGAGTTATTAGATTATTGGCGTGTGTAAGATAAAAATGCATTTAATTAAGCTAAATATGTAGCCGACATTTCTCCTAAGCTGCTAATATGCCGTATTTAAAATGTTTAATGTCCCAATTAAAATTCTTTTAAAGAAAGGATTGTAACTCAACCTTATTATAGTAAAGTGTTACGTGTCGTTTTATTGATTTCTGTCAATCTGGGAATCGACATTTATCAAGTTCGAATTTCCGAGCGACCTACGCCACTTATTGATGCTATAAATTACATCTTTAAAGCTTTAATTAATTACACATCATTATAGTTTACTCGTGAAGTGTTTTCAATTTTTTTTTCTTATTTAATATGAATTTTAACTTCTTTGTTTATGAACCTCTTAAACAAATATTAGAAACATATATTAGGCAAAAGACCATATGAGAAAATTTGATAACCCATTGTTCTGAAAGTCAAAAATCAACAATTTATCCGAAGAATTTTCGGAATAAAGTAAAGCTAAATGGAAAATATTTTTTAATTTATATTCTAATATCAGCAAAGTAAATGTATTTACCTTTCGAGCAAATGGACGTTAAAAAAAGCCATATATTCTACGGTAGTTTAATCTTCAAAGAAAATTTTGAGTCAAATAGCTACGGAATAAGATTCTTTATTTTATATGAAAGTTTTATATAACATTATCATTGATTTAATATACCGAACGAAATTATTCAACACCTAAAAAACTGTTATTGTTGCAATTACAAAAAGTAGCTGCATTTAAAAGAATCAATTCATTAAGTTCATGGTGATGTTGTCATATTTTGCTAATTATATTAAAAATGTTAGCATTTTTTTTAAAGACACATCTAGCTTTCATTTCTTTTTTTTAAAAAAAAAAAAAACAGATAAACAAATAGAAATAAATAAAGTGCTATATTTCGTCTTTTTTTAGCAATAATAAATATTTTTTAATTAATCGGCAAAGATTCCAATTATTCATTGATTCACAAATGACACATGTCGATTCCGAATCAATAAATGACACATAATGAAAGCGCTTATTATTAATAAATTTTTAAATTCGCCACATTAAAAGAAAGTTTTGATTTGAAAGTGCTCTTTTCCCGTTATTGACAAGTTCTGTTTTTTATAGAATAATGTGTGAATATTAGAATTGCTGTGCTGAGTGCTAGCAAGACTCATTTCATATGTATTCATATATTTAGTAATACAACTGACAGAGTTCATAAGCTTTTTTAAACTATCTTTTTAATATGTCTTAATCTTATCATATGTCTCAACGCTACTTCAATTCTGCTGATAAGGATAGTAGATAAACACTTATATGATATATGCAAAGATAATTCAATATTTATTATTCTAATTATCGGTTGGGTTAAATTATGATTTGAGCTGTTTTTAAATATAAAATTAAATCCTTTTTTTTTTTTTTTTTTGTGGTTGTTTTATTTAATTCTGGTCATGACTGTTAGTTAATGAGTCCAATCCTATTCTGTACAACACGCAGTTACATTGTAATTATAAATGGAATCAGTAAAAATCTAAGCCTCTCTATATCGATATAGAGATAATGCATAAACTGGTAGTACCATACATTTATGTAAAGGATTTCTTAAATTTTCAATATCAATAAAGAATTCTCAATTTCTTTGCTTAGAAATACGTACATAAAACACCAAGAATAATTTGTACGTATTTTAATAACTACTATTATATCAGATACACTACTGAACTTAAAATAGGCCACTATTGAATTTAGCCTATCTTCATTGCGTTAGTTGATATATAAGTGATTGGGTTTTAAAACTTCCTCATCGTATACCAAATAATAAAAAATGATCTTACAATTTTTTGAACAACTTTCTCAAGACTTTACGCAACTTTTAGAGAGTGAATACGACTATAATGTAGTAATTGAAGCTGGTGAACAACCCAATATTAAACTTTTTAAAGGACATTCAACAATTTTATACCAACGTTCATTATACTTTCGTCGAAAATTTTCAAATGCGGTTAAGAAAAATAATGTTATTGAAATAAAGTTACCTCATATTTCTGCAAATTTATTTGATATTATTATTAAGTAAGTATAGCATAATATAATAATATCGAAATAAGATTATAATTATCAAATGTTTATAAAATTTTTATTAATACATATGATAATAGATACATCTATGGCGGTATAGTTTCTATGGAAAATTTCGAAGTTTCGGCTATATTTGATTTATTAATCGCTGCCAATGAACTTAAGCTTACAGAATTGACTAAACCTCTTCAATCTCACCTAATTGATAATCATGCATCTTGGCTTCGTTTAAATTTTTCTCGTGTTTTTCAAATTAGTTTCTTTGACGAAAGTTTTGAACCTTTACAACAATTTTGCAATAATATTATTGCCAAGCATCCAAGCACGATTTTCAATTCTGAGGAATTTATCACTCTCCAAGAAAATGTTTTAATTTCTCTTTTAAAGAATGATGATTTACAAATGAAAGAATCAGAAATATGGGATAAAGTTATTTTATGGGGAAAAGCAAAGACTCCAAATTTACCACCTGACCTCAGTGAATGGACTGACGATAATTTTAAGTCTTTAAAAGCTACCCTTCAACATTGTCTTCCTCATATTAGATACTTTCAAATTCCTGGTAAAGAAGTCTTAAAAAAAATTAAACCTTATCAAGATATTCTCGAAAAGAAGCTGTGGGATGATATTGTGTCAAAGTTTTTAGATCCTGATACATCTATTACTTCTACAATTTTACCTTCTCGGAGAGGACCTATTATTACACCATCTTCTTCAATAATCACGCTACAACATGCAGCAGAGATTTCATCGTGGATTGATCGATATTCGACAATTTATGATACTACAGAAATTCCATATGAATTTAAACTTTTACTTAGAGGTAGTAGGGATGGGTTTACAAGTGAAGTATTTCATAGACTATGTGATAATATACCCGGTACTGTGGTTGTTGTAAAAATTAATAGCACGAATGAAATACTTGGTGGTTATAATCCGCTTATCTGGAAGGTTTCTAGTTACGAATCTGGATATGAATATGCACCAACGTCTGATAGCTTTATTTTCTCTTTAAAAAATGAAAATTTAAAAGAATCTATTCTTAGTCGTGTAACAAACGCATCAAATGCAATTTTTTATTATAGCATGTCACATGGCCCATGGTTTAGTAATAGTGACTTTGGAATGAGAGATGATACAAATCCTGAGCAATTGTACTGTTATAAATCTGC